AAGACCGGATAATTCTTTCTACTGCCGAAGAATTCGGCAGTAGAAAGAATTATCCGGTCTTTCCTGCTAATAAACAACACAACATAACTTGTATATTTCGACCCAAATACGCAATTTGTGTGTTTCTGTATTATTTACGTTTGCCACCGTACAGGCGAGTAGTTAGTCAGTTGATCAGTAAAGACGACTTTACGAGTTTGGAAGTCTTCCGACGAATATTAAAATACGGTCAGCTTTAGAAACGATCGTCGCCTTTACTTCCCTAAGTCTTGAGACAAGCGCACACTTAGCCGGATGGACGGGATATTTGTTTCCTTCCACCAAAGTGTAGCTTACGTTTAAAGAAGAATCGAAGATTGACGCCTACAGTTTTAGTACTGCTTTAAAATATTTCCCGTAGTCATATTCATTTCTAAGTTTTTCGGTAGAAATGAATGTCTTTGGAAGAAAACAGATGGACCCCGATATATGGACGGAAATAAAGAGGCCTAAAGACTCAAGTACCGATTAATCATTAAAAAACATTGCACTCGAAATTTTAACAGGCGAGAGAAAAAAAAATAGAAGGCGTTCCGGTTAATCGAAAACGTCAAATTTCGTCCCACGTAAGCGAATTTATGAAGATATAAGGATGGCCAAGCTCATCCCGTGCGAAAATATGCACATTTCTACGTTCGCCTATCTTTTTCGCAAATACAGAAATTTAATTGGTCAAATTTAAACAAAAAATATTGTCAGCAACAATAATAATATTAATTATTATTCTTTAATTTTTCTATTACACCAATATAAGTTCTAACAAAGAGGATAGGGCGCAGCAAATACTTTTTTAGCCCTCTTTTCGAAAAAGGAAAGGAAAACAAACAAAAGCATAAAAGAAATCACAATTAATGTTACAAACAAGCACCAAATCTTATCCCTTCTCTTCTTTGTTTTTTCAATTGATAATTGATAATTGAAAGCGGAAAAAATCAATTGAAAATCAAAAGATAAAATTTGGTAATGAGAGGTAATGTTCCGCTGGCAGTTCGTGTAATTTTACTGACAAAATAACTAAGAAGTCGATGTTCGAACTCCCCAAAAATAAATTCTTTTTTACTGAGTGAAATCAGCTGAAAAGCCGACAGTTTTCTCTTTGCTTTATGCAATTGTCCGGGGAGAAAAAGTTATGTTAAAGACGCCAACACGTAGATTTGCTTCGCCGCATTCACCACACTACAACGATAAGAAGCACTGGCACAAATCGATCGATTTTATTGGTTAACGAACGATTCGACGGACCACATAAACTTGGCCCGGGCGGTGGCCCAAGAAGGGAAGGAAACGGAGCCAAACAAAAATAAGTTGGGCATTTCTTTCTATACGTTGATATGAGAAAGATCTTATGTTAAAAAAACCAATTGGTCAATTAAATCTCGTACTGTGTTCGAGTTGTATTAAATAATAATTCAATCCCCAACTCAACAAATCTGGGCAAATCTTCCAATTTGCATATTGGCTTTCCTCTTCCTTACATTTCGTTCTCTTTTAACAGAACGAAATTCGGGAATAGAAAATAACAATCGCATTCGCCGACATCGCGAGAGTAAGAGTCGAAACGTGTTAGATGACGTCACTACCGGAAGCGGAATGGCGTCGATGCAAACCAACGGAAGCGTCGATAATTTAGGAAAATACCGTAATCGATCTACAACGAAAAGTAGTGGTTAAATCTGACGCTTTTTGACACGCGTGTAAAGTAACCGAGCGGCCTTTATATTCATTGTATGAGTGAAATTAAATAATACTGTTCGCGCATTAAACGGCGAAAAATTTAATGACTATTTTAAATATTTAAAAATTATTTACGGAAATTACGGCGACTCGGACCGGCTATAATGAAGCGAAGTCTGGTCGACGACAGAGCGAAAAATGGAGCGACCGTCGCGCGGAAGTGACGTCGTTTCCAAGGAAACTTTTGATTGGCCGATGGCGCTGGCATCGGAACGCGTCGAACCTCTTCGCCAGAGCAAAGTATTCTCCCCGACGGGGAGGACGAAGATTTAAACTCGATGCCGACATACGTTTACGTCTCTTCTGTTTTTCTTTACATAAACTGATGTTCGAAGTTATCACTCGATAGAATCGGCCACTGTTCGGATTTCGCCAAACAATAGCGCAAAGTAATTTCGACTACGTCACCCCAAGCGCCTCCAGGCTTTGTCTTTAGACTTTATCTTTTAGAATAAAGACAAGAGAAATTAGGCGTCCGATCCAGCAACATTCTTTGTTTTTCCGAAACGAGATCAGGCATCCTTCCGAGTTCGATAACAAGTCGCCTACGTTTCGTTTCTTTTAAATGGTAAATAATAGAAGTACTGTACAGGGATAGTCCCGCCTGGTCCTTAAAATCTGGAAAAGGCGAGTGCGGCGCTCTCTGGCGATGAAAAAAGTCACCACCCAGTTTGATAGAAAAATCATCCTGGTTTATGTTGGTTCTTGTTTAGCCGTCAGCAAACGGCATTATCAACAACCACTATTAATTTCTTTGATCAAGATACTAGACCACTGGACGAGTTGTTTCTGTTAAGATAACAAAACCGGAAGATGAGAAGACACAAAAACGCATTAGCAGAATCATTTCGATTAAACGAAAACTAATTGACAGGCAGAAACACGCTTTATATTTAATTTACTTATTCTCTGTAAAGTGAAAAAATATCGCTTCTTCACCTCCCCCTCTCCAAAATCGCATTATTTTACAATGGCGAATTAAAGTGTTTTCCATTGAAAGAAAACCAAAGCGAAAAAATAGGTGTCGTTTCTTTCGGAAACGAAAAGAACGGTCATCTTCATGATGGAAGTTGCCCAACTTCTAGAAAGCGAAAACGATCTTAACCGGTCTGCGGGCCCTTCCTCCTCACACCTTACGCAAATATCGACTTTGTGACCGCGTCGATGACGAAAGCTCTCTCGTCCGAATCGAAAGGTCACGGATTCCTCCCCTACTTCTGGGACTTTGGGCCAAAGAAATGAAAAATATCATCGGTTCCCACACGATCATTTATTATCAAGTAACGAGAAAAGGCGGATTTCTATGTTTTTTTTTTTTCCATGTATAGGATGGGGGACTGAGTCCCGCCGCCAGAGACGAAAGAGTTGCGTCGCGTTTCCAAGCGACGCGCGACCCGCCGGAAACGGTGTCAACAGGAGAAATAAGTGGTCCACGATTGAAATAAGCCGAGTGTTCGATAATAGAGTTATTAAAAGCAGGTATTAGTCGTCATTTCTTCACGCACCGAAAACTTTTATTAATGGGCCGTCTCTCGTTAGTCTCGGACCGGAAGACGGCCGCCGACCCTGACGGAATTTTCCCACAAATTAATGCATAGGGGTGTGAAATTATTAACGCGCGCCAACCATAATTAGCACCGATTTCCGTCTCGTCCGACGACCGACCGCTTGCGCGAGCCGTTCGAACCTCTCGCAGCCATCGGACACCGTTCACCGCCCTCCTCTCGAAGATATTTCTCATCGAATGACGTTCTTTTCGATCCTTCAGACTTTGGTTCCGCTGCCCGATGGTCTTTCGCCTAAATATTTTGGTGCGTGGTTCGGCCGATCCCCCGGAAGGCCTGCCGTCTAGTCCGACCGAGACGATGCGTTGTCGCGAAAGAAACCGGAAAAGTGCGTGTCTTTTTCCAAGATAAAGTAGGGGGGAGAAAGGGAAGAACCGTCCGAACCAGCCGCCGACTAAGCGCGCGTCTTGACCAAATCGTCGCGTAACGTTCCTGTCGCGCGCAAATTTCGTGAAGACTACTTAAATAGAAGGAGTGACGTCATCGAAAAGTAATTTGAATAAGTGGAGCGACGATCGATGGCTTAAAAATAGGAGGGAGAAGGGGTAATAGCCCGATCAAGGGGGGTGTTTCTGGTCGGGCCGAGCGACGATGGCGACGTCGCATTCTTCGGCGTTCCGCACCGGTCGCCTTCTATTTATAACGGCGGCCGCAAACGGGAGTAAAGGCGAAAACGCGACGAAAATTCGGAGGAGAAGGCGTGGGCGGGAAGAAGCGAAGCAGGCGATCGGGTACGAAACTAATTAGAGCGTGTTCGGACGCGCGAACCATTAATACGCGATGAGTCAGACGACGGCGGAGAAGGGTGCCGAAACGCAACAATCCATTTCGCTCCCAAATTAGGTCGACTTCCGTCCGCCACCGAATGACTAACACCGAAATAATAAACAAGAAGACGGACGTCGGATGGAGAAACGCTCGCGCTAAATTTGGCTCTCTCGTCCCAGCGCAACCTTTACCTCCCGACCGGAACCGGAAGAGCGAGCTCCCTCTATCCGGAAGTCTGATCGGAAGCCGAACCCACCGAACTTTTACTTTCGCACCGCTAACACCAGCACAATTCTAACTTTCGTCTCGCTGTAGCGTTCTTGTTGGCTTCGTCGCCGCGCTTTGGCACGCGCTTCTGTTGATTCGTGCGTCTTTATTCTTTTTAGAGCGTTTCTATCGATCTTTGAACGGTGTCATTCGACCAACGACCGAAACGCTCGACGTTGGTCGTAGCCGAACAACATCCAAAGACGATGGTAACAAAGACCCTTTCGGGTTCGGAAGAGAACTTCTTTCTCCTCTGGCAGCGCGTACTTCCACGCGCTCGGCGTGACGCAGAAGCGCGAGAAGAGAAAGAGCGGCGACGTAAGACGAACTATAGAGTCAGACTGGTAAGGGAGGAAACCAACGCAGAGTCAACGTTTGTCCATCTTTCTAGCATCGTCCCCTACTCTTATCTTGGTCTGTCGACGTGGTCCGGGCGTCGCGTCGCGTCGAATTTCCCATTCTCTGGAGAAAATATTCGATCCCGATCTAACGCACGTGTTCGTCTCGGTAATCGGGTACGAAGCGGATGGTTACTAGCGTCCAATGACGAGAGGGGAGCGATTTCGTCGGCGATCCGAGCCACCGAGATGCGCGAGTCGACGGGAAGAGACGGGGAAAGGTACTCACCTGTTTGAACTGTTCTTCGTAGGTGTATTTCTGATGATCCTGCGAATCTCTGACGGTGGACGGAGACAGGCACAGGGAGGCGGCCGACGGAGCGAGGGCGGCGCCCGCGGCCGACGGGTAGCCGGGAGGAAGGTGGTTGGCCCTCTGTTGGTCTCGCGCGGGTAACAGGTAGCCTGTGGGCGAGAGGGAAGGCGAGGAAGCCGCGCTGCCTCCCGCGCTGCCCATGCCTGCGGCCGCCTGTCGGTGGATGGACGAGGCCGCTTCTCTCAATATCTGGTCGTTACGCGCTCGTATTTCCAGATCCGCTCTTTCCTCCAGGTCTCGCCGCTCGAATCGAGACAACAAATCGGGTTCTTCCATCTTGACTCGGGCCAGGCGAAGAGGGTCCGTCCCGTCGTCGTCGTAGTCGTACTCGGAATCGTTGAGCTCGTCATCGTCTGGATTGGACTGGCAAAGAAATAAAAAAATAAAGTCGTTATTTCACGGCTATCCTTCAATCTCCCTTTTCTTAATTAAACTACTTCACTAACTTTCGCGGGCGTGAAACTTCCGTTTAACCGTTCGGTGATAATTTTCATTTTTCAATCGTGCAGAATAGGTTACTCACAGTTGTCGCTTCGAGTGTCGGCGCGGGTCTCGCGCGCCGATACTCGAAGCGACGCTGCTGGCGGCGCGGGTCGCGCGCGCGCCAGCAGGACGACGACAAAATAATCGAACAGAAATTTGTTTAAAATGCCTGAAGGTAACGAGTCGCAAGAAAGGCGTCAATCGCCGGACGGGTGTAAAGCTTTAAACGGACAGGAGCGTAACCAGGCGGCACCCGACCGAAGAAGGCTCCGGGGTTGGAAAATAAAAGAAATGCATTTTGGAGAAAAGCGGAAGCGCTTCCCCGGCAGTTGACGTAAGAAGAAGGGAACTTCTTCTTACGTTAGGGAAGACCTGAAAATGATGGTCGCGCTTCTGGCGAGAAGTGAGACGTCGGTCTGACTACTGTAGCCAACGTATCGGTGCGCGAGTCGAGAGGGGGGTCGAAAGTCGAGCGCGAGTAGAACTTTAACGAGGCGTAGAAATAAATTCGTTAGGGCAGTCGACGGACGAGCCGATAGAAAGCGGCGGACGGTAAGAAAGATCGGATTCGATTAAGGGACGAACCGAACGATTAACGAAATTAATAGCGGGCGAGTCGATTACGAAGCGATTAAGACGTTTAATTGTTTGATGAAATTAACGACGGGCGCGCATTTAGGACGGCCGAGGGTTAATACCCGACGTCGACGAGAGGGGAAATTAGGAGTTTTAGCCTCTCGCATCGTTCGTTAACTAGTCTTCAACGGAAATTACGTCGGGCGCGAGAAAGTAATCCGTCGACCGAACGCCGATCGGCGGACAGGCCCTTCGTTCCCCCGGGGGGGGGGGCGGAGCGCGCCAAATAATTCCGACGAAGGAAAGAAGGCGGTGCCGCCTGTCTGAAGATCTGTCCACGCGACGACGGTCGAGTGGCTTTCGATCCGCTTCCGATCCGTCCGTCGGTCGTACGAATAGTCAACGTCCGACTGAATTTCGTACGTCGATCGACGACGATTTCCAACGAAACCGGTTTGAGACGGCGGAGAATATTCGGAACACGAGTAAAAGTAAACGCCGAAGGTCGACCGAAAGTGATTTAACCCGATTTCGTCTGCCGATCGTCCGTCCTATCGCAACCTGCAAAATTTATCGATAGATAAGATGAAAACGCGCGGCGGAAAGAATTTGGCGCTGTTTTTCCCGATCTGATACCCAGGAGAAGAGGTAAATTGTCAAAAGGAGTAGTCCAAATTTCCGGGACAATCATAAACTACTTTCCGTCTTTCTTTAATTAAATTTAATCTCGCTCTAATGGAAATCCAAGTGGTCATTCAATCCAATCGAAGGGCTGGCTTATTTAAAAATTATGGGACGAAAAGAAACGTTCGTTATTCCGCTCCTCTATAATATCGAACGCATTAGATAAAAGTATAAAATAGAAAACGTCCATAAATATAAACGAAGGTTAAACGAAATGTATAAACATACAAACTACTACTGAACTACCGAGGGATTTTAGCTTTTTCGAGTGTTTGTAACAGTTTCGATAGTTTTCGTCGTATTTTACGGTTCGTTCTCTTCTATTTGGTTTATTTACAGTTTCTAATTTTTATACGGTCACGAAGTCGCTTTCCCTTTCCGTCGACCGCGAACGACGGTTTGACTTATCGTTAAGCCGGTTTCAAATAGCGATATAAAATGAATAGTGATTTGTACTTTCGAGAGAAAAGCAGAGGTAAAATGCTACTACAAATATAAAAGTCAAGTTTACCGTAGCACAATACTCGCGAGGCATTCGTTATAAGGAAAAAGTACTTAAATGACATGGTGATTCATCGAAGAACTCTTAAAACGTAAATCGTTAATACCGATATTTTTAACATTATTAATATTATATCCGAGTCGAAAGAAGCATTTTGCTGTTCATTATTCTTCATTTGAAGAGAGATATCCTACACAACATAACATAATTAGTTCTATTTATATTTTAATAATAATAAGAGAAATAATGAAGTTACCGTCCATTTCATTATTTCTGTTACATCCATTCATAATTTTCGCTGTAATTTTTTTGTCTCTGTACTCGTATTCTGGTATAATTTTTGCCAAAGAGAACGTCGTTGGAATATTTCCATTAACTTTTCTATGTCTTCGGCAGGTTTCTTATTTAATAATAGCCGTTAATCCGCTATGATTTCAACAAGCAACGATCGAGTTCTGAACGATTCTGAAATTCTGAGCAACGATTCTGAAATTAATTTTTCTCTCTCCACCTGGACAAAACTATATTTCAGTCGCTTATCGTTGCGATTATACCAACTTTATTTATTTTCTCAAAGGACGGAATGGCCGGAATAAGCCTCTTCGGTTTTGAAAAAAGCGAGAGCGACTTAATTGAAGAAATTCTCGTCGCATTGCCAACGTCGCCGGAAGTTGCGATAGCAAGCGCGACAAATTAATAGCGATCGTGGCAATTTTCTTTTCGTTTCTCGCAAATCTCTTGCTACGTGAAACTGCCTTAATCGTTGTCGAAGATCGAAAACTCGCGCCGTTCTGCAAAGAAATGCCATCGACGTCGACGCCTTTCGAGTTTATAAATATCTGTTGCGGCCAACGTCGTCCGAGCGTCTTTTAAGGCGCGAAGATCGTATTTCGTCGATGCATAACTTAATTTCGCAGATGCGAACGATTAACTTTAGCCTTCTCCTAACGCGCATCCGACTATCGATTTTGGAAGAATCCCGCGCTTCTCCGAATTAATAACGATGAGACGGATCGCCGGCGATTCCGAACCGTAAAATTATTGTAAATTACACCTCTTCCTCGATACAGGTTGCCGATTTGTCCAGATTAACACCAGTTCTTTTCTTGCATAGTTTGCATTCTTCCACTTATTATCGGTAAAAAGAAAATCCTAATCACTCCTGACATCGCCATTCCATTTTAGTATTGTAATCGCAGTGGATTAAATCGACCGATAAAAACTCTATAGCCGCTTCCTAGTTATTCTCCAATCTCTTGTTAATCGTAATTCGACATCACCACGTTTTCACTATTTTAACAAAAAGCCAAAACGAAACGAACACCAAATCCTCGTACAAAATACTGCCGGATAAATATGTAGGTTCACCGACAGAAGATTGTTAGGCAATCGATTATATACCAGGACCAACACACGATGCGCCATTTATGCAAGTTCTTTTGAACTTTCTTCATCGTCGATACTTTAGACTCTTAATTCTCTCTCTCTCTTTTGGTCTTTTCAGTGATTATAATACGTTAAAACATGACGGATTTCTTTTATTCTGTCAGAAGGACGTCGTCGTGTTTAAGAGAAACGAACACCTAATAAAACGTTTAACACGTAGCAATTCGACGTTATTAATTTCGTACGACGAAATGAAGGCACGCTCTAACCGCCCATTAAATATTGAAAATGGTGCAAAGTAGATATTCACTTTGCCTTTCCACATCGTTGTCGAACGCCGTAACGTCTTATTTCTATCCGTTTACTTGGCTTGGTTATCGTTCGTAACTTTTCTTCGAACAATCGTCATCCCCAATGGCGCGTTATCCTATGGGAAAAAAGGGAAATTGCCTGGGGGTCTCCTCTAGCAAGGGGTCCCAATCTTTTGTGAGAAAATAATTTCCCCAAAAAATGGAGCCCTATTCAAACTCGTGAAGCTATAACGCGGCACTGGTCATCCCCCTAACGAACGTGCTGAGTTTCCACATTTTTCTAAATCTGGCAGTTTTCGAACTTAAACGTTTACTTCGATTTATCCTGGTGAAAGCTCGGATCCAAATTTAATAATTGTTTATTTAAATGTATTCTTTCTTACGTGTAATAATAATTATCTTTAATTTATTATCATTAAAAATTCTACAAATAGTTTTCTTTCCGACAATTTTAAACTCAGCACGAACATATCGTAATTGTTTAAGTTATAGATAATATATTTTTATTCCCTAATACAAAATCTTATGAACTAGTTAGGCCGGAGCCTAATCAACTGATAAGATTCGTTGGTCTCATAAACAAAGTAAAAACTACGCCAGACTACTATACAGTTAGGAACCGCAAGGAACCGTATAAATGTATTGAGGAGTTCATTAAGTGGGCGAAATAATAATACGGGAGATATGAACCTGGTTCTATACGGATTACGAACAATTTAAAATATCGCATCGTATTTAAATATTAATTAAGCGTTTTACTTGGATTCATTTTATTATGACTGAAACATTAAATTCCATAAAATGAATATAACTTATATAATAAAGACAGGTGTCTTTATATCCGAATACAGGATAACGAAGTCCGCCCAATATCTTTTAATCAAAAACTTTTTCGTCAAGCTTTGGGTCGACTATAAACCTCCAAACTGTAAATAAACTGTTCGAATATGAAAATTTTGTATTCGACTTTACCCAAAATAAAGCGAAGAAACATACTCAACAGAAAAAGTCACAAGCAACACACAGAATAAGAAGTGTTTAATTAGTTTAGTTTAGTGTATTACCACGTGGCAAAAGTCCTCCGAAAAATCCCCCACTATTCAGTAGTCCCCCCAAAAAAAGTACACAGAAAAAAGATATAACACAAGATTAACAAACTAAAAGAAAGCAACTTCCGACTAAATCACAATTAAATGAAGACGATTGAAGAATTAACTCTAAATCTTAATATTATTTAAACATTTTAGCCAATAGAAAGGTCCTTCTAGTCAATTTACTAAATCTCTTGAAGTTATCAAAGTTCTGATGATTATTTATTTATCTTATTTACAATAGGAAATGTCTATGACAATGATCTCCTCTCCACATTAACAATAAAAGCCAAACAAATCTTTCAACCAATGTATTATTTATAATATTAAAGCAGATTTGTGTTTGTTTTCGCTTTTAGTTTCGTTTATAGGTTACCTAAAAGAGACATTAGCTATGGAAACAAATTGGCATATATAACTTATATTTATATATGTATAGTACTGTACAGTACTTTACAGCACATGTCAATTGGAAATGCATGTATTATATATATATATATATATATGAATAAAGATATATATTTATTCGAATTATTATTCGAATCAAATATTATATCTCTGTCGATGTTTAGCCCATTTATATATTACATTGTTTGGAAATAAAGAGTGATAGTTCTATCGTGCGTAAATATTATTATCGAATATTTTATTACACAGTTTATAATAAATTGTTATCGTAAATACATTTGTTAACATAAAAATTTTTAGTCTGACATTTTTAATCCAATACATGATAATAAAAATATATAAAATACTTACAATTAAGTAAAGAATATTCTAAAAAATAATTGAGACCATTCGATGGTGCCCTTTTACTAGCAATTCATAAAGTTTTTATAACGATAAATGATTTATCGCACCGAATATAATAGATTTGTTTGAATGATTGGTCAGTATCCGATTTTAAAAAATCCGTAAGCTTGTCCGTCCAACCGAGGATAATCTCACGTCTTTAGAAAACTTTGTCCGACATCTTTCGGAAAGTTTCCACGTTCTCAAGTTTCACTTCCCTTTTATATATTGTATAAGCGATTGGTAACAGTTGTTTTAATATAACCTAACTTTTTTGTAATGATATAAAGAGTCGAATTTCTGTATATTGTCGCATATATATTTCAAATATTGGCGAGTAAATCTCCTTTCGAAAACCGCCCCGGAATACAAAGTTCACGTTTATCGACTGATTTTTCTCATATATATCAGCGCCGCAGGATTATTTATTGTTCGTTAAAGGTAAGTTAAACCCATTAGGCTGTCTGTAATAATCCGCAAATGCATTATCGAGTTTCCAATCGTCGAAAACATATTTATTGTTATGGTAGATTTAAAAACCAAAATCGATTATTTGCTGTTTTTTGAAAAAAATATATTAATTGGCATTATTTTTTTACATTTTCAAAGATTACCACGATTTTTCGCCAACTTTTTATTATAATAACTTTTTCTGTAGTTATCAATTGTATTCCTTATTATTTTATTATTATTTATTTATATATTAATGAATGAAAATGTCGAAGTACGGAAGAAACGAATTAACAAATCGAATTAATCCCGCATCTATTAGTGACGTTTCCGTTCGATGATTCGAAAAACTAGTTATCAGAAGGAGATAAGAGGGATCAGAGGGACTTTTTCAACAGTATTCGAGTCTTTGAATCTTAACGATGTGTTACTTAAAGAACATCAGTCGAGACATTAATCGGTTATACGTAAATTTATTTAAACTAATCACTCCGGTGCCGTCTAAACTATTATCCTATCAATCTA